GTGAGTCCTTGTGATGGAACGGGTGTCACTGGGCTTGGCAGTAACTGTCTCCACCCTCTGTGACATCTGGCCCTTGTGTATCAACTTAACGAGGGGGAATTACAGGCAAAGGAATGATTTTTAGGAAAGATAACATGACTTGTAAATTCTTTTTTTTTTATTTATTTATTTATTTATTTATTATGTAAATTCTTCTGTAAGGGTGCCCATTTGGGTGTGGCCGGGTTTCTCTGCCGTTGAGGCTCTGAGACCGAATCATTTTCTGGTTAATTCCAGCAGAGAGTACTCTGGGAGATTCTTCTTTGAGGCACATGAAGGAGCTTAGGTGGAATCCTGTTCACAGCTGTGCTTGGTCTTCAATTCCAGCACTCGGGGAGCCATAGTGGGCAGATCTCTGTGAGTTCGTGAATTCAAGGCCAGCCTGGCCTACATACCAAGATTCAGGACAGCCAGGACTACAAAAGATCCTATTTCAAAAACAAATAAACACATAAAATAAAAGCCTGCTCTCAGAATACTTTCTCTACAATGATGGTTTTAAGGGTGCATTCTGCACTTTGACCTATAAAGTCTGTCTCTGGTAGCTGGTCTCCTGGCTTCATTCCTCTGCATTCCTCTCGCTGCCCAAAGGAAGGCTCATCTTGAGATTTAAATGTAAACTCTAGGTCCTGTTCTTCCTGCTTTTTGTTTTATTTTGTCTTGTTTTTCAAGACAGGGTTTCTCTGTGTAGCAACAGCCCTGTCTGTCCTGAAACTTGGCTTTGTAGACCAGGCTGGCCCCGAACACAGAGATCTCCTGCCTAAGCCTACTGAGTGTGGGGGTTAAAGGTGTGTGCCCGCCACCGCCACTGGGACCCTCTTCCTGTTTTTTGATTTTAGGACAAAGCCTCAAATAAGGCGGTGAGTACTGTAATCACAGCACATGAGGAATGGAAACTGGAGGATTGGGAGTTCAAGACTAGCCTTGGCTGCATTGGATCAAAAAAAAAAAAAAACCTAGGTAAATCCCTGACAAGGTACACAAAGATCCAACCCCTACAACCGGGGAAGCAGGATCTTACTGGGTTCTCTGTCTGCGCTGGTGGGTAAGGGGCACTATCCCTTTAAGATTTATTTGTATACACTGAGGACAATTACCCTGAGACCCTGCCTCTTCTCCCCAGGGTAACACCTTAAACTCACTTTCCCTAGGAGGCCCTCTGCCTTTGCAGGCTCATTATCTTCCCCCGCTGTAATCTCGCCAAACTCCATGAACCTTGACTCTCCTGCCCTAGGCAGGATGAACAGGTTCTGGCAGGGTAGTGGCCAGATCATCATCAAAGCATTCGTGTTTGTATTTTTTTGTTTGTTTGGTTTGATTTTTATTTCTAGAGACAACCTTTACTCTGTAGGCCAGGTGGCCTGGTACTCACTATACAGTCCAACCTAAAGTAATCCTCCTGCCTTAGCCTCTCAGGTACTGGGATTATGGGCATATGCCACCATTTAAAAAAAAAAAAAATCTTTAACTTATTCTTTTTTGTTTGTTTTGAGGCAAGAATTCCCTATGTGTCTCTGGCTATCCTGGAACTTGCTCTGTAGACCAGGCTAGCCTCCAACTCAGAGATCTGTCTACCTTTGTCTCCTGAGAGCTGGGATTAAAGGCTCAGGCCACCACTGCCCAGCTCTTTTATTTATTCTTCGGCAGTTTAGTGTGTGTGTGTGTGTGTGTGTGTGTGTGTGTGTGTGTGTGTGTAGGATCTTCTGTAACCTAGGCAGCTGGCCTTGAGCTGCCTTTGGAGCAGAGGATGACCCTGAACTCTCTTTTAATTTTTTTTTCTTTTTTAAAAAAATGTATTTGAGTGTTTTGCTTGCGTGAATGTATATATTCTGTGTGTGTGCAGTGCTCTCAGAAACCAGAAGAGGATGATTAGCTCCCTTGTGAGCTGCCTGGGGGTGTTGAGAAGCAAACACTTTTCCTCTTAAAAACTGAACTACTGAGGCAGGAGAGACACTGACAGCTCTTCCAGAGGACCCGGGTTCAATTCCCAGCACCATGTAGCCCCTCACAACTATCTGTAACTCCAAGATCTGACACCTTCACACAGACACACATGTAGGTAAAATACCAATGCAAGTAAAAATAATTTAAAAAAATAACTGAGCTATTATTAGCTGGACTCTTAATCCTCTTGCATCCTCCTCTCCAAAGCTGAGGTTAGAGATGTATTCCACAGACCCATGTTTTATAAGTCAATGCCTTCCAACAAACCATTGAAATGGAAATGTCAGAAAAATATTTGTAAAAACATATATGAATACCAAAAAAAAAAAAATCTGAAAAAGCCGGGCAGTGGTGGTGCACACCTTTAATCCCAGCACTCAGGAGGCAGACGTAGGTAGATCTCTGTGAGTTTGAGGCCAGCCTGGTCTACAAGAGCAGAGAATCTCTGTCTCGAAAAAATAATATATATATTTATATATACATACATTTATATATACACATATATTTATATATACATTTATANTCGATTTGTATATATATGCATATATGTATATAAGTATGTATTTATATATACATTTATACAATTTCATACACACACACACCAATGATTCTTCTTCTGTTTGTTTTTTGAGACAGGGTTTTCCTGTGTAACAGCTCAGGCTGTCCTGTAACTCTCTCAATAGACAAGGCTGATCTTGAAATCACAGAGATCCACCTGCCTCTCCCCCCCCCCCCCCAGTGCTGGAATTAAAGATAATGCACTGATTCTTTTTAATTTGTAAGATCTAGAGTCAGGACTAGTATCAGAAGTATGAAGTTACTACCATGAGTGTATCTGTTCTTTTGAAGTGCCTGCCACACCTCTAGTTGAAGTAGATAAAATTCCCCGTGATTTCTGTTGTGAAAGTCACTTAGACTGGGAAATCTACAGGATGCTGCTCCCATTCATAACGAAGGACGCATCAAATTTCACTTAAAGGCTAGTGAAAATATGCTTGGATTTTATTCCTCTCGCTCAGTTCTTGGACCTCGCCCAGGGCTGGGCTCCTAGACAACCTCCAAAGGTTGTCCCAGAACAGTGGCTGAGAGCTGTGATCCTAACAGCTGGGAGTCATACAGGTTTTTAATCCCAGCCCCGGTCTGAACAGCAAGTTACAGGCCAGCCAGTGTTGTACAGTGAGACCCCAAATCTGAAAAAGGAAGAAGGGGGATGACTGTATCTTCACTGTGTGAAAAGTGAGAAGAACAAAGGAAGAAACACCCACAGCTGGGGTTTGAAAAGCAAAGCAGGGTTTTTCTGGGCCCATTGTGGCTCCATCTTCCTGAGTGAGTCCCTAGGACCTGAAGCTGAACCTCAGGTAAAGGCATGTGTCACCATCACCAGCTGCAAGGCAACATGATGAGCCAGGAAATGTCTGGAGGGGCTTTGGGCGGCAAGCAGGCCCAGATTAATTAATTACTACAAAGGTACAAGCCGGCAGAAAGTAGGGCATGGGCCAGGCAGCCGCTGCCCCGTTTTAAAGGGAGAAGCCTGCAGGTAGACCGGCTGCTGTGAGGTCCTAGCCCCAGACAGTGGCTCTGCCTGACACCAGGGCCCTTTTCTACAGAGACCCCCAGCTCCCCACTTACCAGGGAGCTTCACAGGCTTCTCCTCATTCCTGCTCCCCTACTCCAAGGTCATCATGGGATGGAGGAGGAACTCAAACGTGGTCACTGACAGCCCATCTCCTTCCCATCCCCTGGTTTAATAACTAACGTTTTCCTCAGATCATCACATTTTTTAAAAATATTTATTTATTTATTATATTATGTGTATAGCATTCCTTCCACGTGTGCCTGAAAGCCAGAAGGGGGCGCCTCATTTTTAGATGGCTGTAAGCCACCATGTGGTTGCTGGGAATTGAACTCAGGACCTCTGGAAGAGCAGTCAGCGCTCTTAACCTCTGAGCCATCTCCCCAGTTCCCAGATCATCACACTTTAAAACATAAATACACTTTTTCGTTTAGTTCACGTCGGCAGTGAGTGCTTCACCACTTGGCTACCGCTCCAACTGATACACTATAGTTGCTTGATTTTTAGATTTATCTGTGTGTGTTTGTGTGTGTGCTCTAGTGCTTGCGCACATACTGTCAAGCTTGGAGCTTGGAGGTGTCTGATCCCCATGGAGCTGGAGTTACAGGGAATTGTGAGCCACCTGATATGGCTGCTGAGAACCTAACTCGGGTGCTCTAGAAGGATAAGAGTAAGCAGTAAGCACTCCCCCCCCACACACACACAGAGTTTCTCTGTAGCTTTCGAGCCTGCCTTGTAGACCAAGCTAGCCTTGAACTCCACAGAGATCCTGCCTCTGCCTCCCAAGAGCTGGGATTAAAGGTGTGCGCCAGCAATGCCAGGCAGCAGTTTTAACTGCTGAGCCATCTCTCCAGCCTCATTGTTTTGGGGACAGTTGCATCCTGTAACTCTACTTAGCTTAGACTTTGGAATTGTCTATGTATATTAAGCTGGTCTTAGACTTTCTTTTGGCGGGACAGGGACTCACTATGCACCTCTGGCTGGCCTGGATTTCACAGCTCCGCTTGCCTCTGATGCCCAAGTGCTGGGATTAGAGGCATGTACTACACTATACTGGCTCCACTATTTTTTGTTTTGTATTTTTTTTTAAACAGAGTTAAGATTTTATATGACCAAAATGAAAACCTGCTCTTCTTTGCAACACAGAGAAGATACCTATGGAAACACAGAAAAACAAACTGGAACAGTTTCCTTCAGAGGGCTCCAACAAGATCAAGTGTGGAAATAAGGCTGTAACCTGCTAGAAGGCACTCCAAACTGTAAAACGGTGGCTTTCTAGCTGTGCCTTGCCTTCTGTGGGTCACCTGACACCCCTCCCACCGCCCCAAGATTTTACTGTGCAGTCCTGGTTGGCCTCTTGATCACATACCCGGAGGGGACACCATCCCCAGCGGGGGCCCTCCTGGACGTACACATAAATGCGCGCGCGCGCGCGCGCGCGCGCGTGTGTGTGTGTGTGTGTGTGTGTGTGTGTGTGTGACCACAGCTAGCATGCGAAGATCGGAGAACAAATCGCAGGAGTTGTTTCACTTCTTCCACCATGTGTTTCCCGAGGAATGGAACTCGAGTTAGTAGCAGTCATCACGCCCCCTGCGTAGCTCCATTTTACAAAGTAGCATTTGGTTCCATTTTGAATGGCGGTGAGGCCCAAGCAGGGAAGTAGACATGGGCGCTACCAAAAATGCATGCCCAGAAGCTGCCCTCCTGGCCCAACCAGTCCTTTCATTATGTGTCCAGTTCCCGGTTCAGCAGAGGCCTGGGGGGAAGTCTGTAATGAGTCCCTGTATGAAAGTGCAAGACCAGAACAGCAATAAAAGCTGAGGCGGTCGCTGTACAAATTGGAGCCAGAGCCCGGAGTCACCCCGCGGACCTGGTGCCCCTCTAAACTGCAGGTTGAGCCCGACTCTCGCCCACGGCACGCTGGCACCGGGAAGCTAGCCGGCTGGGCTCCGGAGGGTGCTCCACACCTACAAACAACGACTCTGTTACTCCTGAGAGCGGCCCATTGTCCTTGTTCCATAGAGTAGGAGCGCCTCCCCCGTCCACAGCATACCATCCGAGGCGCAGCAGAGAATGTCTTGGGAAGGCGGTGCTGGTGGGCGCAGGAGAGGGCAGCGGGCACTCCTGGCCGTGCCGGTTATCTAGAGAGAACCTCAGCCGGGTCTCTCGGGTCCCCTCCCAAGCCTAGACCCTCTCGATCCGGAGGAAGGCTTGAAGGTCCATGAGATCTTCCTGGAAGCCGACTTGTGGGGCTGGCCCCTCCGTGGTCTGTCCCTGCTGCACAGGAGCTGACCTTCATTCATCACCACCGTAGCCTCGACTTTCCTGAGACTAGACCACCTCTCTCTCGGGGCGCGCTATTCCACGCGCAAGCCGTGGCCCCGAGTCGGGCCCACCGAGATCCCGGGCGCTGGCCTCCCACCCCGCCCCCTCGTGGTGCTCCCAGCGGCAGCGGGTGATGCGGCCCCTTTAAATCCCGGTCGCCCCGCCCTTCGCCGTCGACTCGGCGGCGGTCCCGGATCCAGCCGGGCCGCGGCTCTTGCCGCCTTGCCCAACCCTGCCCGGCCCCGGCCTCTGACCGAGGCCGCTAGTGCCGCGCGCCGCGGAGGAGCAGCCCGTCCGGCTCCCGCCCGTCCCTATTCCCGCCCAGACCGTAGCCGCCTCTCCCGGGCCCGCAGCTCCCCCGCGCTCCGGGGCCGGGGCCCCCGCCGCCTCCCGGCCCCCGCGCCCCGGCCCCGGTTCCCCGGGCCATGCGGCCTCGGCCCCGCCGGCGCCCGCCGCGCACTGGGGGAGATGAGGCTCCGCAATGGCACCTTCCTGACGCTGCTGCTCTTCTGCCTGTGCGCCTTCCTCTCGCTCTCCTGGTACGCGGCGCTCAGCGGCCAGAAAGGTGAGCCCCCACCCCGTCGCCGCCCGCGCAGGCCCGCGCCGGGTGCACCTGAGCCCCTCCCATCGTCGCCCCACTTGTTTGCTGCTAGTGTAACGAAATTCCCCGGGTCGGCCGGGCCGAGGAGGGCGGGCGAGCCAGCGGTGACCAGTTCCCGGTCTCTCCGTGGGGCGCTCTGGACTGGCCTCTCTGCCTGCGGTTATCCCATGCCAGGGGCGGGCGCTCCCACTGGCAAGTTAAGGACCTATGGAGTTCCCACAGAGGGGCAGAGGCACAAGGTCATGGAGGTAGTTGTAATCAGGGGGACCCAAAGAACGCGCTGCCGGCACAGACAAGAGCAGGCACAGTGTTGTTGAGACAGGTGAGGAGAACAGTTAAGGCATCCATCCTCCTGCCCCATTCACCGCTGCGCTCTGCTGCAGCCCTGCCCCTGTGAGTGCTGCTCTCCGGGGGGCCTACAGCCTTCTTCACGGCTCTGGACCCCAGGACTCCTCTGGAGGGCGTCCTGATCAACTAGCCCAGGAACCCCGATATGTGACCATTTGGTGTGGTTTTCTTGGCCCACCTCAGCTCCCTGATACACCTTTGAAGCTTAGGCTGGCCAATCCACACTATGGCCTCTGGGCCTGGCCAGCCCTCTTGGGAGTAGAGGGGCACAGGCCCTAACACTGTCCAGAGTTCCTCTGAGCTAGGTTGAGTTGCCCATCCAAAAGCTGCTTCCTTCCTGCCTGCCTCTGGTCTTCCTGTCATATCAGGCTGCAACAAGCTAGCCCTCTCCCTCCCTCAGGCTGGCTTTTCGTCCCCCCAGGTTATGCTAAATGAGCCTGGGGAAAGAGGCAAGGGGAAAGTCCACCTCCCACCACCAGGCTCCTGCCGGGTCAGCCCAGTGCAGCCCAGCCTTCTCTGGGACTTGTCTTGTTTTGGTGGAGGCCTGGACTGGCCTTAAGAGAAACACAAGCCTGGAACTCTGAAGAGATTTCCTAAAGTCTGACAGAGAGAGAGTGTGCGTGGTCAGGGCAAAGGCTGTGGGATGGCATGAGCTATCAGGAACGGGTTTGGCAGAGGCAGAGTTCTCTGTAGGTAGGGTGTGTCACCCAGGACACTCTGAGCCCTTGGGAGAGTGGCCATGAAGGCTGTAGTAGAGCCATGTCTGAAGAACTGCGGCCAGGTTGTCTGGTTGTGGGCAGGCCATTAGCCCTTGTGTCTCACCCTCCGTTAGGCAGGGGCTCCTGTGTGCTTCCTACAACAGTCGTGTGGCCCAACTGATGTTAGGACACCTCCTGAGGGAGTAACCAGGAGACTGGCACTCTGAGGGCCTGGGGAGCAAGAGAGCCAGGGAAGGGTGGGGCTCAGATGCAGAGTTCTTCTTCCTGAGGGACAACAGGCCAGGAACCTGTGCCACAGAGAGGAGACGGTGGTGGCTGGCCAGCCCTGTCCGGGGGCTATACTGTTTCCAAGGGTGTCCAGCAAGGCCAGGGTTCTGGACATCAGGAATCCGGGCTGTGAACCCTTCTCATTCTTCCATGCCGACAACTCTGTAGGAAGCTCCTAGTGAAGCCACGCTTAGTCAGTCAGCCGCTGGATTGGAGCTGGTTCCCAGTTTGCAGTGGCTATAGGGCTCAGGAGAGGACCTAGTACTTAAGAGAAAGGAAGAAGAACCGGAAGGGAGGATGTAGGCGGGAAGCCAGAGAGGAAAGAGACAGCAGGAACAGGGGTCACCCTAGAAGCCTGGGCTAAGAATGGGAAGGACTCAGACTTGGCCAGATGCACCTAGGGTTCAGGATCCAGGTTCAAATGCAGCCTTGGCTATATCTGTTGAAGCAGCCAGACATTCAGGGATCAAGCTATAGCCTCAGTCAAGCAGCTGCTGAACTTGCACCTGAGGAGAGACAACCAGCCAGCCCTCCTCAGTGGACCGGATAACAATGATGGACCATTCCTCTCCTGGAGTCCTAGGAGGCTGCGAGACCTGGAGACAGAGCGAGCACCTGCCGCTCCCCACCTCTGCGTCCTGCCTTCTTGCAGTTCATAGCAGACCTTTGGCTAGGCTTGGTACTGCCCTATGGTCCTGAGCTTATTTCCCCTTCTCTAAGTACAATGTGCAAAGTCTGTACCCCAGCTCAGTTCTGAAATCTGTTTCCTCTGCCAGGAGGGAACCAGGTGAAATATTGCGGTTTGTGAGCCTCAGGGTGTGTTTAAAATCCTGCTTGCAGAGTATTACAGGCCCCGTAGCCAGAATCGTCTATTACGGTATAGCCAGTGTTGCAGTCCACCCCTGGGCCAGCTCCATCCTGTTTCCCTGGGATAGGAAACTGTGGATGGAAGCCCTCTGCTTCCCAAGAAGCCCTATCCTGACCTGCTCCACACACCCAGAGAGACCAAAGAGTCCCCAGGCCCTTATCACTCACCTACCTCACGATTCAGCTCACCAGAGGTGTGGGTTGCCGGGATGATCTAGTGAAGTCCCCCACTTTAAGAACAACCCATAGGGAGGCAGTCACACAGCTTGAGTTTCTGGATTTTGAAGGATGCAAGGGCAGAGGGTCCCCCAGTCAGTAGACCTGGGAATAAGATCACTGGACTCTTAGAGTGAGCAACAGCAGACAGAACAGGGCCGGAAGAGTATGGTGGGCCTCTCGGGGAGAGGTCCTGCGGAGTTCAGAGAAGTGACAGCAGTCGGAACATGGATGGCAGCCAGGCCCAGGAACCCAAGGGGTTACTTGCTGGTAAACAGTTGGAGCGCTGGCCTTAGGAAGGGAGGCCAGGATAGGGATCCAGCGGTGTCCAGGCTTGGATGGTCAGGATGGTTCAGGGAAGTGCCACCCACCATGACCTACCTGAGGCAGTCTAATGCAGGCAGATCTTGGCTTACTTCCAGAGCAGAGCAGGTCTGAGATCTGTGCTATTTCCTCTGTCTCCTCCACGGCCCCCCTCAGTGTTGCTTGGGATACTGCCAGTGATACAGGCTGCCCTTTAACTCCACCGTGAGGGGAAGGCAGGGACTTCCCATCCAGAACGAGGGAGGCACCTGTCTGTCTAGGCCACTGTGAACTACCTCTCTGGCTGGCTCTGACAGCCTGGGTACCTCTATCCCTCCACCCTGTGTCCTGTTGGTATAGCCCAGTGCTGGGAGAGTGAGGTTGGGGGTGGGATCTCAGTGTTCAAGGGTCAGGTTTCCAGGGTAACCTGGCCCCTAAGCCCAGCTCTGAGTCTCACAGATCCTGTAACTCGATTCCCTCTTCCTCCCCCTTCGGGCTGTTCCTAAGCCTGGGTGTGGCCTGGGAAATTAGCCCTGGGTAAGACAGGGTATAATATTGGGGTGTTGGGGGGCTCCTCAGGTAAGGGATGCCTCAACAGAATCCACTTGACTTTTCTGTCTCCAACTCTCTTCCTTTTCCTCGGCACTCCTCCCCTTTGACCTGCCCTGGTTGCTCTGAGGAGGAAGTGTCCTGAAGTGACTCCACTTGCCTTGAGCCTCACCTTGGTCTGCAGGCTCTAGGGGTCACTTGCCTTCCGGAGCTGTTTGCTCACCAAGGATTTGATGCCTGGGGATGGGGAGGGATTTGGAAAGGCTTCTTAGACTCAGAGAAAAGGCCTTGAAGGCTAGGGGCAGATGATGTGGGATCCAGGCAGAAGAAACAGCTTGTGCAGAAGCCAGACATCTGACAAAGCAGAGGGAGGTGTACATGGTAGCAAAGCAAGAGGGCAGAAGCTAACCAGACAAAGGCCTGACTACCCAGCCTGGCAGGCTGCTGCTGGCCCCTAGCCAGGGAGATGCTGTTTATCCCTCTTGCTGTTGGCCCCTGCCAGACCAGCGAGGCCAGGTGCTTCTCACCCTGGGGACTCTCCTCCACCCTCAGGCAGCTCCCCTCAGGGCCCCAATTACTCCTCCTATCTGGGCCCTGCTGCTGCTAGCTCTGGAGCAGAGCTGAGGGTCTGGCAGTTCTCCTTGGGGTGGCAGGGACCTTCTAGGTGATCCAAGCCTAGCACAGTTCACTTGTGGTTGGGGCTCTGGCTGTGGACTGGTTGAGCAATCCCTGGGCTCGGTAGTCAACTTCATCTGTTGATGTGAGCATGGGGGTGGACTGGGCTCTGCTGAGTGGGAGTGAGGTAGAAAGAACCCAGTGAGTGAGCAATTAGTGACAACCATGAGCAAAGAGCAGCCTCCCCCTCCCCCTGCACACCACATACACACCACATACACACCCCATACACCCTGCAGGAGCACACAGTCAGTACTGTAACCAGCCTGATTCAGACTTAGGGAGAGAGTCTGGGGAGGCTGGCTATAGCCATAGAGCCTTAAGGATGGGGTTGTCTGTCATTGCAACCTTGAAGGGAGGGCAGGAGAGAGGCAGAAGGCTGGGGTTTAAGAGCTTCTTGAGGAAGAGCTGTGTCCTTGTGCCCTGAATTGGGACTCCGGGTGTCTGACTCCCAGCAAGGGGCACAGTCTTCAAAAGCAAGAGGAGACTTTGGGACACCAAGGGTGGAGAGGGTTCAGTCTGAGGCGGTTCCAGCCTGTGCTTAGGACTGCCCCAGGCCTGGGAGGTGATCATACCCCATCCCATCTTAGGTACGTTAAAGGATGAGAGAACTGGCTGGGGAAGATCCTCTTGCTGGGGCTTTTCAATCCCAGGCTGAACATCAGTAACTTCACATGAACTGGTGTATGTCCCCTAGTTGGGGTGTGGCAGGCATACCTTTACAGGTGCGCTGTTGCACAGACAGGCATGCTGTGGGGCTGGGTCTGCAGGTGACTGTTCCCTGATGTTAGCCCCCTGCTCCCCACCAGGTGACGTGGTGGACATTTACCAGCGGGAGTTTCTGGCACTGCGAGACCGTTTGCACGCGGCTGAGCAGGAGAGCCTGAAGCGCTCTAAGGAGCTAAACCTGGTGCTGGACGAGATCAAGAGGGCAGTGTCTGAGAGGCAGGCTCTGCGGGACGGAGAGGGCAATCGTACTTGGGGACGCCTAACTGGTGAGCTCCAGCGGGATGGGATACATGGAGGTCTGCAGAGCTGGGCTGTTTTCAGGCCCAGCAAAATCTGACCTGTCCCTTTCCCAACCACCCAGAGGATCCGCGACTGAAGCCGTGGAACGTCTCGAACAGGCACGTGCTTCATCTGCCCACTGTCTTCCACCATCTGCCACATCTGCTGGCCAAGGAGAGCAGTCTGCAACCCGCAGTGCGGGTGGGCCAGGGCCGCACGGGAGGTATGGGCGTGACCCGGGAGGGGCGAGAGGCGGGCAGAGAGGCTGTCCCCTGGAGCCCTGCCCAGTGTCACCCCTCCGCGCCCCTGCAGTGTCCGTGGTGATGGGCATTCCAAGCGTGAGGCGCGAGGTGCACTCGTACCTGACTGACACATTGCACTCGCTCATCTCGGAGCTGAGCCCACAGGAGAAGGAAGACTCAGTCATCGTGGTGCTGATCGCCGAGGCGAGTGGCCCAGGGCCTGGGGATACAGGAACATGGAGGGGAAGACACACAGTAACGATCCACCGAAAAAGAGAAATACAAAGAGAACGGCATGGGGAGCAAGGGGGACAGGGACACCAACAGAATTGCAGTCTTAGTTTCATTGCAAATGGATCAAGACAAAAAGTTACAAAGATGAATCTTTGCACCCCCTTGTGGAGACACTGGTTATCTGGTTCCCCTCACCCCACACTCCTGACAAGGCTGTTTTCTTGTAACTGTGATCACGGCCAGTCTCAGCCCCTCATCTCTCTGGGCACTCAGGACAGGAAGTCACTCACCCCTATATATGGGGACATCTGAAGCCCACACTCCTGCATCTCCCTCTTCCAGACCATTTTGGGTAGTAGCTAAGCTAAGCATACTTGGTCTTCCCACAGACAGACCCACAGTACACCTCGGCAGTGACAGAGAACATCAAGGCCTTGTGAGTACCAGCGACCAGGAAAGGTTGCTGGAGGGAGGGCAGCCAGATGCCTGCCTCCCCTAAGAGGAGACCTGCCTGTGGGGGGAGGGGCTTCCCTTCTCTGTTAAAAGAGGGAAAGTGTGTGAGGGCCCCAGCCTTTCTGGAGCCCCAGTGCCTCAGGAGGTTGGTGGAGGAGAGGGGCGTATGCTCAGTGAGCTTTCTGGGCAAGGCAGTCTGGAGAGCTCCCAACCTTCTTTTGCCCACTGAACCTTCTCCCACCTAGGTTCCCCACAGAGATCCATTCTGGGCTCCTGGAAGTCATCTCCCCTTCCCCTCACTTCTACCCTGACTTCTCCCGCCTTCGAGAGTCCTTTGGGGACCCCAAGGAGAGAGTCAGGTACTTATGCTCAGAGTCGCCAGCTGTATGTTGGTGCCAGGCCATGTCTCCTTGGAGGACCCTGGCTGGTGGGCGGGGTGGGGCCTGCCTGCCTCAGGGGCTTCTCTGTGGCAGTCCCCTGGAGGTGGAGTTATCTCTGCTTCTGAAGCCCCTCCCCCGGCCCCCAGGTGGAGGACCAAACAGAACCTCGATTACTGCTTCCTCATGATGTACGCACAGTCCAAAGGCATCTACTATGTGCAGGTCAGCTGGAAGCTCTTCTGCCCACCCTGAACCCTGATTGACTTTGCCCTTGCCTACTCTGCCCATGGTCACACTTGGGGGAGGGACCCCACTTCTGCCCTGTTCAGTCCTGAGTCCCAGCCCCGTACTGTTCCTCCCTGTGCAGCTGGAGGACGACATTGTAGCCAAGCCCAACTACTTGAGCACTATGAGGAACTTTGCCCTCCAGCAGCCCTCTGAGGACTGGATGATCCTGGAGTTCTCCCAGCTGGGCTTCATCGGTAGGCCACCCCGTGCCGGTCCCGTTAGACAGGTGATAGCCCTTCAGCCCACCTATGCCCCTCCGTCTCACAGCCCCAGTACCTCACTAGAGAGCCTTGCTGGAAGCGCCCTCTGAGTGAGGATGTCCCAGAGTCCCCAGCCCTGCCCTGTCTTCTTGAACCCACACCTGCCCGAAGTCTGCCCACAGGTTTGCTGTGAGCTGCTCCACATTGGCCCCACGGGGAAGAAGTAGGGTTTAGCAGTGTTTTCCACTCAACCCTTTTCCATGATTCCTGCCCTCAGGGAAGATGTTCAAATCATTGGATCTGAGCCTGATTGTGGAATTCATCCTTATGTTCTACCGAGACAAGCCCATCGACTGGCTTCTGGACCACATCCTGTGGGTCAAAGTCTGCAACCCTGAGAAAGATGCGGTGAGCAGGAGGTGCTTGGAACCAGCACCAAGGAGGCGGGCCGTCAGCTGCCGGCTCGCACTGTGTTCCTGGCTGTGCCTCTTTGGCAAGGAGAGAACACTGCTGACTGAGAAAACCCCCTGGTTATCCTAAGGAAAGGCCCTATCCTTGGAGTCTGGGCTGAGTGAGCTAAACCCTAAGGTGTCACTCTCTGTTCACAGAAACATTGTGACCGGCAGAAGGCCAACCTCCGGATCCGCTTCAAGCCGTCCCTCTTCCAGCATGTGGGCACTCACTCCTCACTGGCGGGCAAGATCCAGAAACTGAAGGTGGGGATGCCACAGAGTTTGATAGAGCCCTGGGGAGGCCGGGCTGGGGATGCCACTGATGCCTGCTGCCACTGATGCCTGCTGCTCTTCTCTAGGATAAAGATTTTGGAAAACATGCTCTACGGAAGGAGCATGTGAACCCCCCAGCGGAGGTGAGCACAAGCCTCAAGACGTACCAGCATTTTACCCTGGAGAAGGCCTACTTGCGAGAGGATTTCTTCTGGGCCTTCACACCTGCTGCAGGAGACTTTATCCGCTTCCGCTTCTTCCAGCCACTGCGCCTTGAGCGGTCAGTGCTCCCTGGGGAAGGGGACAGGCTGAACACGAGCTAGAGGCCTCAGCATATTTCTGGGTCTTTAGATACCCCTTCTATAACTCCTGAGGTAATTATCTGCCCCCATCACCATCTAACCCCACCATGCCTGCTTCCTTACTGAAAAGCACTCCCCATAGTAGTATTAACTACCTTGTGAGGACTAAGGCAGGCAGAGCTGTCTTTAGGTACTCGGTGACAACCATCACCACAGCCTCAGGCTAAGGCCCTGGCTGCCTGGCACAGCCCATGTACTGTCCCAAATGGTGCCCAGTATCCCCCAGCACCTGGAGGCCCATCTGATCTAGCCTAGGCATGTCCTCTCTGCTGGACCTGGGCAGTGTACCCGGGCAGTATCTCATGGCTCACTGGCCTGCTTGGCGCCTGCAGGTTCTTCTTCCGTAGCGGAAACATTGAGCACCCAGAAGATAAACTCTTCAACACTTCCGTGGAGGTGTTGCCCTTTGACGTGAGTGTGGTGGGTATGGGTGAGGACTGGGGCTGCCTCCTCCTGGCCAGCCACTCCAGCCCTGCGGCTTTGTCCTCAGAACCCACAGTCAGAGAAGGAGGCCCTTCAGGAGGGCCGCTCAGCCACTCTCCGGTACCCTAGGAGCCCTGATGGTTACCTCCAAATTGGTGAGTAAGGCAGGGCCTGTGTGGGATGGGCTTTTGGGTGTGGCTTTGTTTTTACTTCTAGGTATCGCCCTTCCACAGGCTCCTTCTACAAGGGTGTGGCCGAGGGGGAAGTGGATCCTGCCTTTGGGCCCCTGGAAGCACTGCGCCTCTCCATCCAGACTGACTCCCCCGTGTGGGTCATCTTGAGTGAGGTGAGATCGGCTGGGTGCTGGAATGGGACCAGCCTGCTAGACCATAAGAAGCCCCATGACACCTGCTCATCCTGAGCCTGACTCTTACAGATTTTTCTGAAAAAGGCCGATTAAATGGAAGGTTTCCAAGGGTGCTCCATGGCCGGCTCTGGAGCCCACGGTTCCAAGGGTGGTGTTGCTGCTGCTGCTGCTGCTGCTGCCGCCGCCGCCCCAAAGGACCAGGCATATCCACCCCACCCAAAGGGTTCTGCCTGGCAGGCGGCTCGGGCTGGCCTGGGGTCCACCGCTGGCCCGGAGGCCCCAGAAGCTGGTGCTGCGCCGGGCCGCGAGAGGAGACAGGCGGCCCCCACACTGTGCCTGAGGGCCGGCCTGCTGCCGCCCAAAAAGAACCGAACCGTTTGCCCCTGGCCGGTCGGCTTGAGCCAGGCCGTTTTAGAAGAGCTTTTTCTTGGGCGCCCGCTCTTTGCGGCGCGAACACTGGAATGCATACACTACTTTATGTGCTGTGTTTTTTATTCTTGGATACATTTGATTTTTTCACGTAAGTTCGCATATACTTCTATAAGAGCGTGACTTGTAATAAAGGATTAATGAAGTGTATGCCTCATAGGTGCTTGTTCTGGCCAGGCACTTGCCTGTCTGCCTCTCTGTATTTGGCCTATCCCCGCTGGGAGATTCTCCTCCAGTGCAGGCTGACTACTTGGTGAAGATGACTTCCATCTCTGTTGTGCCAGAGACTGAGTCCCAAACCCCCTTTTTACCATGTCAAGTGTCCCAGTGCGCTGTTGGCATACCTCAGCATGATCTCATTCCCACTTAGCAGGAAGGTTTTGGCCACTGAGTCAGTAACTGGAGCTTTCATGGACCCAAAGTTGTACCTACCTATTCTATAGGAATCCGCTTCCAAAGCATTCTCTTGTCATCTTGGGGTGGCATCACGGCACCCACCCCAACTATTGTAGAAACCTGAGCCCCTGAATGCTTCAGTCGGGGAGTTGTTGGCCAACTTCTTTCCTGTTCCCCCACCCCCTTTCATGGTGGTGCTCAGTGTCCTTCTCCCTGCTCCTCTTCCCTTGGTCTCATGTAGTAGAACCCTGGTATGTGTGTGTGGCAGGGCCAGGAGTTGGGGGTACAGAGGAACTGAGACAGGCTGCCCTGGAACTCACGGTAGCCCAGGCTGGCCTTCAGTTTATGCCACAGCTTCCCAAGTACTGGAATTACAACCAGGAACCACAGCATCTGGCTCATTTAGAGACTATAGTCTTCTCTAAAATAAATGGGCCATCTCCACCCACCTCAGGGCCTTTGCACACGATGTCGGGCCTGTTTGAGAAGCATTTTCCCTGGCCAGCTAGGATAAGAAAGTCATTTAGAGATGTTTTGTCAGCAACCTTCCTCAAGTCCGGCCCTCCTCAAGCACCCTGAGGTCCACTTCAGAGAACGTATCGTTGACTACTTTCCTGGTCAAGCTCACTGCTATGTGGGCCTCCGCAGGGACTGTCAACACCTACACTCATCTGATGTTGGAGATCTAGGGCTGATCAAAAACAGGAACCCAGTTCTCACTTGGGGAAAGACCAACTGATTCTAGTTGTGAAGTTGGGGCTGGGAGTGGAGGACAACAAGGCACACAAGATCCCAGCAGCTGAGGTTCAGCCTGAGAGGAAGGAGAGCCACAAGCACAGAAAGGAGGGTGAAGGGTGGCTATCTCTGGAAATAAATGTCAAGACAGAGGTAATGGCGCAGGCAAGGTGCTGTCTAGAGGAGAGTATTTATATAGTGAGAGACGCTCCAAACCAAGCAAGCCCATGCCGCTTCCCAAAGCCTGGCTACGTCGGGGGATGGGGCCCTTGGTAAGCAACCTTCTCCGACCCAGAGAACATAGGCGGGACAGTCGTGGGAACTTTAATTAGAAACTGAGATTCGGAAGCGGGCACCCCTGCGTTTTGCTCTAAGCTCTTCTCCAGTAGCGCTGACTCGTAGGTCCTTCGCCTCAAGCCATCTGCAGGAGGGCCTGAAGTCTTCTGAAGAGCGCTGCCTGTAGCGTGCCGGGGAGGAAGTGGACCAGCAAACCCAGCGCGGCCATCGCCACCAGCAGCCAGAGCGCGCGCGCGCTCGCGTACAGAGGAGCCAGCCTGCGGGCAGATCTCAGCGGGAGTTTGGACAAGGCCCCGCCCCACAGACTTAGACTCCGCCCCCGCCGTGCCAGACGGCCCCGCCCCTCAGGCTCAGGCCCCTCCCACCGGGCTAGACCCGCCTCCTCGGGCTAGGTCGGCCCACCTGCGGTCCCCGAAGGCTTCCTTTCCTCGGGTCCCCAGCCGCCGTTCACCGCCTCCCACCCGCAGAGCCGCGTCCGGGAGCGACCCTTCCCTGCCGTGCTTTCCGGAAGTCCGGCCTGAGTTACCTGAGCTGCGCCGAGCGCGCGTATCCCTGGAAGTAGCGGAGGCGCGCAAACAGGTAGAACAGTCCGCACAGGGCTGCGGCGCCTGCGAAAGGCCAGGGAAGCGCGGTGAACACGCGCGCCCGCCACCCGGGGACCACCCCCGAGCGCACCCCCGCGCCGTCCCGCACCTTCGTGGAAAAAGATGCCGGCGACCCAGAGCGTGGCGAGGAACAGCGGGAAGTACTCGCTGCAGTTCACCCTGCGTGGGACGGGGTGGGTGAGCGCGCGGCCGAACTGGGCTGACACCCGAACCCGCCCGGATCCGCCACACTCACTGAGCTCGGAAGACGCGCTCGAACTCGGGAGGTCCAGAAGTGAGTGGCGGCGACACGTGGAAAGCCCTGCGCGCAGAGATCACCTGCAGGGAGAAGTAGGCTACGGCCGTGGGGACGTAGGAGTCAGGTTTGGCGCCTAGGGTAGACCCTGTCCCCTAGCCCTCTTCCCCCTGCCTCTCGCTGCTTCTCCCTCCTCTGACCTGCCCCACCAGCTGTGTTCACTGGAGGGGCCCAGTCGGCTTGGCCTGAGGATTGACTGGCGTGAGGCACGCACCAGTAACACCTGTCGGTGGGCGGAGCAACAGGAGACTACTTCTGAACTATTTGACTTGCAAAGCACAGGCAAATGCCCACCTCCCGTCCTGCAGGTATGGACCCCCAGTCTTTTAGTTCCTGAGAAGCCAGTGTCCCAGGACAGAATTGGCACCAGGAACAGGAAGCTCACGTCCTATCGCTAAGAGACCCTTGTTTCCCTTCTACAGAGCCAGCCAGAAGGGACCCTGCCTCAGGCCAGGCTTACTGAAGCTTGGGTCTCAGTGCCACCAAACAATGGCAGAAACTCTTGTCTCAGTTTCTGTTTAGACATCAGGAGCCCAGCTCTACCTGGCAGATACATGCTCCAGGTACCTGTCCCAAGGGCTCACCCCATCTAAGCCCGTAGCTATCCGGCTATGCATCATACTTCCAAGTAGACACCAGTCCCCACCACAAGGCAGGTGCCTGACACGCTTTCCTCAGTGGCCCCTTGGCAATCGATGCCATCCTTCATCTGGTCCCTTGGCTGTGCACTCCTTCAGACCCTAACCCATGTCATTTCCCACGGCTCCCCTGCAGACATTCCTTTGGGGCTTCTTCCTCACCCCTTAGCCAGGACTCAGGCCCTTTAGCATCAAGACCTCAGTAGCTCTTGAAGAGTTTGGAGCATGGGCTGGAAGTACCCTGTCTTTCACCTGGGCCTAAGCCTAAGCGTAGGCCTGTCAGCACCCCTATTCACTAACCCAATGACCTGAAGGACAGACAGCAGACTGCACCCACCTCCCCCACAGGAACCAGCTCACCTTGCAACAGAACTCCCAAGAGGGTGACAGTAGCCAGAAGAGCCACATCGTCCTTCATGGTGCCAGTCACCGGCAGAGTCAGCTGGAAGGTTCTTATCAGCCAGTGTGCTGCTTAGAACTAGCCCAGGAGAGGAAGAACCTCAGTACCCACCCCACCCCTTCTCAGTAGAGAGTAGAGGCGGGGAGGGGTGGGGGCCTGATTGTATCCACAGAGGCAGGAAGCCTGACCAGGCTGGGAAGGTAGAAACCAGGCCTATGACAGCTCGGCCACTTCCCTCCATTGTTCTTGACCCTTCTGGGTTTAGTCCTGCAATAGCGGTGCTCAAGCTGCTCACCCAGGCCCACCCTAGCCTTGGATGCTTCCAGCCTTCACGTCCTCCATGCCCTGTACCTTGGTAGTTTCCCAGTGACCTTTCAGACCTGCCCTTACTCCTGGGTTCAAGGTCAGGCTCCCAGCCCTGACCTCTCCCACACCTACAATTATTTAACCTGTATAACCTGTACCTGCACCTCTATCCAGGGCTACTCTGTAATGCGTAGTGCTGACACATTCTTCCCAACTCTCTTTGACTTCATACTGCTGTCCAAGTGTCCTCAGCCACCTACTCCATTCTTGCTCCTTCTCGGCACCCTGAGGCCCACCACCCTCAGAACCCCACAGGCTCATGAATAACAGCTTCTGTCCTCTCTCGGGCTTTGAGGGAACATTAGTCTCTAGGCCAGTGTGTTTGCCCAGCATCCCACCCGGCTCAAGGCTTAGCCCCGTCCTTCCCACAGCAGACAGAGCTGACAATTCCTCCGCTGCCAGACTTCTGATGTAGACACGTGTGCCAGGGCTGATGGGTGAAAGCGAGACCCCGTTCTGGAAACTTCATTAGCAGTTTGGAAAAGGAAGCTCAGCTGATGGAAGCTGAGGATTCACGTTGGTGAGCCCTTGGGGCCCTGGGGCCACCCCCTCTGATGTATGCGAGGCAAAACAGTCACTTCTCTTTTCTGATGAAGTTGGTTTGAGGCAAATATGGTCAGCAGTGGCAAAGTCCAGATTAGTCTGGAGCTGCAGGTGAAAGGAACAGACCAGCGTAGGACAGGAAGGGTGAATGCTAAGGAATTAACTGCCTCAGTACCAAATCTACACCTCCTGCATAAGCTCCTGCAGCCGGCTTGGTCCTATCAATGGGAGTCTTCAGACATTAGGGGCATCCTTGGGAGCTGTACCTTTGCCACAGAGCCAGCCTCCTTCCTTGCTCTCCTTAAGCCCAAGGGCCAGCCTGAGGCCTTGTCCCTGTGGGCTCTCCCAGAAGCCCTGCCACTTTGTTCATCATTGTGCCCAGGAGATCCAATGAGTCCCAGCTGGGGCTCTGCAGGCTTCTCAGGGCGGAGCTGGGTTTTATGCTGGTCCCCCCCCCCCCCCCCCGCTTTTCACCAAGGGGTACTAACAATAGCCCATGCTCAGTGATAGAGGAATGGGCAGGACACAAGCATCCCATGGCAAGATGGGCTGTATCCTCATGTGCTGTCTTACCTTTTAACCCCTCCCTTCCTGAAGCTGCCCTGATGGCAGCCTCCTCTGTCTCCGCTCCCAATGCCAACTGGATATCCTGAAGTTTGGAACCCAGGCATTGGCATGGCGCTGGCAGGCGGTCCTCCTGTATGCCCATGTGAATGAGGTGCCTGTGTGCATGCCCATCCGCAAGCAAACATATCCGTGTGTCTGTGCTTGCGGGTGTGGGTGCTCATGGGTACAGGCTTCAAGCCAGTCTGTGTTTGTGCTACTTCAGGCTCAGCTCTGCCAAGCTGGCATTTCCTCCAAGGCTCACATATCTGCCCATCCATTCTCTCTGGCCTGGCAACAGGAAATAGAGGCCTGACATCAGCAACTCCTCAGGAAGTCTGTGAGCAGATGTTCAGGGCAGAGACAAGGGTCTCAGTCCCTTGTTGGAGGAGGGAGGCTGCTTGTTGGTTCCGGCCCGGCTAGTTTAGAACCGAAATAATCACACAGATACTGTATTAATTAAACCACTGCTTGGCCCATTAGTTCTAGCTTCTT